CGAGAAGAGGGAGGAGTGGTGGTGGGGATGGGGGTGGCCGTCGACAGACCAGGGGGAAAGAGGCGCGCGTGCTTGCCCGCCCGCGCGGCCAATTCCCCCCCCAGCCGCCCGTCAAACCAGCCCGACAAACACGTGAGAAACATTCCAAGCCCCTGCAAGCCCGCAGCGCGTCCGGCTCGAGCGCGCACCGCCTCCTACACTGCCGCCGGCCCGGCCCGCGCCGCCCATGGAAACCCATCTCCTGCATATTAATGACAAGAGTTCTCATGACCGGCAGCGCGACCGGCGCTGACTAGCACCCGCCCCCCGCCCCGCCCCTCTCTGTCCCGCCAGGGGCAATGGTACCCAAAGAGATGCGCGTGCTGTGATAGGGCAAGAAAGGCCCTCGTCATTCATATCCTCGTTCAGAACGGCAGCGTGTCCCTCCGTCCCGAGAACTCGACGGCGATTGCAAGTAAAGTATGTGCGACCAGTCACCTCCAATGGCCTTGCCATCGTTCTGCAAGTTAGGAAGTGCGTCCGTTTTTCTGAGATTCACTCGGCATGTTGCGGGATCTCGGCGCCTGCGAGGAGAAGAGTAGGCCACCCCGCAGTACACGCGTGCACTGCAGCCAAGATGTTGCCTACCTATCAGGCGCCATGAGCGCTTGCAGAGGCTGGACTTCGCAGGTTCGCCTGTACCAGGGCAGGTTGGTTGCAGGGTGGGTTGCGGGTTGCCTCATACTCGCTCGGGCCGCCCCACGCTGTTCTTTTCATGATGACACTCGGACGTTGTTTGACGTCGCTTCGCACTTTCTTTCTTTGCTTATTGTACACCGTCGTCGCCGCGTCCCCACCTTGATCTCGCTCTCTGTGATGATTCCCCGATGTGAATTCCGGGCGAAGAATGTCAAACAAAAAGACAAGAGGAAGTGGAAGGGGGGGGGGGGTGTACAATGCGGTGCCTCCGGCGATTTCGCATACAGGAGCCTCGAGCGGTGGCGCTGATGCCGAATGGGGGAGGTCCCACCCCCTCGGTCCC